TGAACCTCTCTGTTTCTACTGGATTGCTGAGCTTTGAGACTTGCTGTGCATTCTGGGTAAATTTCAACCAACATGAAATTTGAAACTGTTTTCCTCCAACCTGTAGATTTCTCTCTTAATATAAGCCTTCACAGAACTGAAGTTTTAAATTCTCATGAAGATCCATGTATTGATATTTTCTTTTATGTATCATGTTTTGGTGCCTAGTATAAAAACAATAACCTTGTCCTGAAGCTTGAAGGTTTTCTACTTTTGTCCTAAAAGCATTGTTGTTTTTGTATTTAAGTCTATTATTCATTTCCAGTTAATTTTTTTCTACATTTTTTGGCCTAGGTCAAAGTTTATTATTTATTTATCTATTTTACCACTGTCAAATTGCTCCAGAAACATTTATTGAGGAGGTCATCTCCCATGGTCAAGATTGTATTGGCTCTTTCTTTGGTTGATAATTAATTGACCATATTTCTGTGAATCTATTCCATTCAACTTCTCTTTGTGTGTCTGCTATTAATACCACAATGTCCCAACTATGGTAGCTGTCTATGCACAAGGTATAGTGATTTCCTCCCGCTCTATAATCCTCATGGCTTGTCTAGATCCTTCCTAAAGATATTTAACAATAAGTGTTTATTAAAAGAAACTTGCTAAGATTTTGATGGAAAGGCTAAATTTATAGGTCAACTTGGGAAACTTGAAGTATTTATTACTTAGAATATTCTAATCTACATATAATGTTTCTCCCCAAGTATTTAGGCCCTCTGTGATTTTTCCCCATTGGCAGTTTATAATTTTCCGTATAAAGATGTACGTGTTTCATTGGAGATATAGATACTTTGTTTTCTTGTAGCAGTTATAAATTATTTTGCATTTAAAATTGTGGTGTCTACTTATCTGATTATGTAGGTGTGCACAATTCTTAAATTGTATTAAGAAACAGGGTAGGACAATGGTTATTGCTTGCTTCTTTTTGCATTATGAATTCTTCCAAGATGCTAATGGCATGTTGTTATCAGTCTCTGTCCTGATCTTCCTAGGCTGTGAGCTCTTAGTAACATTCTATTGATTTCTACAGTGCAGAGGTAGGCCTATAATTTATCCTGGCTTACGGGGGCAGGTAACTTGCAGGAAAGCAGGATTAATGGGCAGAGATGCACAGAAATTGAACCCAAATGTGCCAGTTTAAAAGTAGCCACAGCAGGTCAAGGTCTTATCTATAGACAATCTCTCTTCAGATTTTATCTTGCTTTATACTACAATGTGGATGCACCTTGAGGGCTCTATGCTATAAGCCAGTCATGGAAGGGTGAAAACTGCATTGGTCCACTTGTATATCACACACCTAAATAACTCTAACTAACGGTAGCCATAGGGAAGAGTCTGATTGAAGTTTCTCCAAATGGAGTCTGCTCTGTAGACAGAGTTTCTGTCCTGCCTGGTCCCGCAGCTGTTTAGTACCCAACACACAGAGGCTTATAGTAATTATAAACTGTTTTGACAATGGCTCAGGCTTCTTATTGACTAGCTCTCTCTTAATTATTAACCCATTTCTATTCAATGATGAATGCCACAAGGCTGAGGCTTACCTGTAGTGTCCAGGCATGTTACTCCTTTGGCAGCTGCATGGTGTCTCTCTGGTGATTGTCTGTGTTTCTCTTCCCAGCGTTCTCCTAGTCTGGTAGCCCCACCCATCTGTCCCACCTTTCCTGCCTGTCTACATCCTGTCAGTCCATTGGCTGGAACGGTTTTATTCATCAACCAGTAGGAGAAACATGTATTCATTCACAGCATAAAAAAGGACCTCCCCCATCACTGCTCCAAGGATTCCTGAGCATCAGTCAGCCAGGGGAGCTCACCCCAACCAGATGCTTTAATTCCACAAGGCATAGCTCAACAAACATCCCTGTGGCTCACTGTCGCCTAGCCAAGTGCTGCTCTAAGTATGGAGTATTCGGTAATCCTCTACTTTAGGAACTTAACCTTTGGCAGAGGAGATTGAAAGAAAAATAATAATAATAAGGAAGTCCTCACAGGTGATGACTTTAACACTTTCTGGTGCATATGCAGAGGCTGTTGTCATGGTGATTGGCTTCAGAGTATGATTAAAACCGTGAGGCCAGGGACAAGCTTCTGCAGAAGAACCACCTGAGCACAGCAGAATGGAATCAGATACCAGAAGGAAGCAACCAAACGGGCAGAGGGAAGAGCCAGGGCGAAGCCTCTAAGAGGGACATGCTTGGGGTAGCCCAGAAAAGCTCTGAAACTGGTGTGCTTGGGGAGAAGAGGGTAGGGGAACTCTGAGGGCCTTGTGCGTCTGACTGGTGTCCGCCGTGTGGGGGAAGCCATCAGTGCACAGCAGAGAGGATGTGGTCAGGTGGCTGGTTATAGAGCAACCGTCTGGAGTAACTCAGAGACCAGGGTAGCAGTGGATGAGGAGAGCACTCAAATTCAGTGAGTCTCTGATCTTTCTCCTAGTGCATTCAGCAAGGTGCTAGACTTCAGACGGGATCCTTAAAGAGGCAAGGAGGAGAAAGGAGTCTGGAAATGACATGCCTTCTACCTACCCCTGACACATCAAAGACCCTGCCCACTGATCACAGTTCTGTGCCCCCTTGGCTCTTGCTCTGTGCTCCAGACATGCCTCTGCTCTGCCTCAGAGCCCAGCATCTGGCAGACTTCAATTCATGTCCTACTCCTACTTTTTCAAGTGGAGTCAAGAAACTTGGTAACTGTCTGTTTCTGTTTACATTTCCATAGGAAAAGGCTGTCCTGGGTACTTCTCTGCTGCTCTCATAGAGAATCACTGTATTAGTCAGGGTTCTCTGGAGAAATAGAACCAATAGAATGAACATATCTTAGAAAAGGGGCTTATTAGATTGGCTTACACCACATGAGCTGGTGGTCCAGCCATGCATTCTGTGTGCTGGGAAGGCTGACACATGAAGGTCACTCAGTCTATGGGCCTAGATGATTCCTGGAGAGCTGCTGGTCTTCAAGTCTGTGCTGTAAAGCTGAAGAAGCTGGAATGATGTGTCAGCAAAGGATGGAGAAAGTGCTAGCAACAGGGTAAATGACCTCATCTGCCAGGAGCAAAGGCTGGTAAGAAAGCCCCAACTTCCCTCCAGTCTTCTATCCAGGCCATTGCAGCAGGAAGGTGCTGCCATTCTGGGGGAAGATCTCCCCCTCTTAGCTAATCTTGCTTGGAAACACCCTCACAGAACCTTATATGGTCCTGTTTCTTAGTTGGTGGTGATTCCAGATCCAATCAAGTTGACAACTGAGACTAAGCACCACTCAGAGACTGGGGAATTTGTAAAGAACAGGGATTTATTTGGTGATAGTTCTAGAACATGGTCTGATGTTATGCCTTTGGTGTTGTGTCATATGTGGCCGAAGGCGATGACTATGTGGTAGGGGGCAAGAGAAAGCAGAACATAGCCCAATCACAAGACAAGGACATCGATTCCACTCATGAGAGCCTAATGTGTCCAAACTCTGATGCACTGGGGAGTGAGTGTGTAACACAGGAGCTCTAGGGACCTCATTCAAGCCATAGCAGGGATTGTTGAGTGGAATAAGTCATGCAGTGCTTGTGGGGTAAGGCACGATAGGAAGCCCTTGGTGCAACTGCTGCATTTGATTTTCCATCATAAATCGACTCCCATAGTTTATGTCGGATTGTAGCTAATTTTACCTTCTCATCCTCCTACCACCTATCTCTGACAAGGGCTTTTAATAAAGTAATTATTAGTAGTATAATAATAGCTTAATTATTAGTAATATAATAATAGATAATAGTTATCTGTGGGAAATGTACATTCTTCACACCATTCAACCTCCCTATTGTATCTCTGGTATCTTCAATTCATATCTTCTTATTGTACAGGGGACAAACAGAAACATGTCTGTGGTCACCCAGCGAATGGGTGACCTTGTCTAAGGTTTGTAACTTTAAGCAGGTCATCTGTCTTCCTGAACCTCCAGTTCCTGAACCTCTAAACTCTACAGCATTGTCATTTGCACTAAATAATGTCATACACAGGGATGAATGACAAGGCTGAAGAAATACTGCATTCAATAAATAACAACGGAATGACCACAGCTTTAGAAGCTCTGAGACAAAATTTAAAGGCCACGTCTAGGAATCCAGCATAAAAGAAGCTACTAAATGCGTAAGGCCCTGACCTTCCGGGCAAGATGTGCCCACTGCTGCAATAGTGCTACAGAAGCTATAGGGGTAACCAACCACCTTTTGGTTGAATTTGAGGCCCACTCCACTGGAAAGAATTCAGGTCTGGTACTATAAATCTAGTTACAAGCCATGGTTAGGGAAGTCTTCGGCCACACAGGAAAACCAACTACTGTTGTTCTGCTAAATATACATATTGTAAAACTGCAACTTAAATATTTATATTTATATCCATAGATCAGTGCTGCTCTCAACCTTGGTCAGAGAAGCCTCTTATTGTAGTGGTCAGAGGCTCACACAAAATGGTTGAAGTGGTGAGAATAAGTGACCACTCAGTGCTCAGCCCTAAACACACACACACACACAAACACACACACACACACACACACACACACACAGACACACACACACACACACACACACACACACACACACACACACACCCCAAGGCACAGAGAATGTTGAAGAGTAGCAGAAAGGATGCAAGAGGTGGAGAACGGGGAGGAGGGCTGTGAAACACTGTCTTCTGCACATCCCATGAGATGACTGCTGCTCTTATGAACTCACAAGAGTCTTAACAAATATAAAACCATCAAAATAATTTCTTGCATCTTCTCAGATTATAGAAGAGTAAAACTAGAACTCAGTATCCAGGAAAACTTTTCATGTCATATTTCAGGTGCATTGAAATCAGTGTTGCTAATCCTGGCCTCACCTCCAATAATGAATGGAACAAACTCTGTTTATCGAATGCCCCTTTGCCTCGATAAGGAACCTTAATGTTTTACTGTTTCCCACGTTCAGATGGGGCTGGTTTACACTGGGTTCTCCAGAGAAACGTGAAGCCAGCGATATAATTCAACCCAGAACTGAGCCTGAGAACCCAGGAGGCTGATAGAAATCCCAGCCTGAGGCAGAGGATGAAGTAAGATGTCTAGCTCCAGCTGTGAGGTAGGAAGGACACCATTTCCGGTTCCTTCTCCTCTGCCTTCTGTTCCGTTCAGGCTCTCAAGAGAATGGAGGAAGCCCACCCACGCTGTGGGGGTGCAATCCGCTCTACATGCTCTACTGACCCAGATGCTGATTTCACCTCCAGACTCTTTTTGCAGATACACCCAGAAACAGCATTTCCCCTGTGAGCCTTGTGGGTCAGTCCGCAGAGGGACACAGGACCCTTGCCAGGGGTTGAGATAGGGTTGCCCCAGCTGATCTGGCAGACCGGGGTTCGCATCACGTGTGCCTGCTTCCAAAGCATCCTTCCCATAGCTGTATCTCTCAAAGTGGGAGGTGAGCGGGAGCCTTTGCCCGGATGGCAGGCTCAGCACAGGCATGACGTAGCTGCTGCAGAGACCCACATTTCAGCTTGTCCTCTTCCCAGCACTGAGCCTCCCATACAGCCAGAATCTTTTCCCTCTTATTCTCTCTCTCCCATAGTATGCTATGTGCCCTGTTGGCAACAGCATTTTGCTTGTTAGTTTATTTTTTCTTTTGTACCGGGGATAGAACCCAGGGCCTTGCACATGTCAGGCAAGCACCGAACCCCTGAGTTGAATACATTCTATTTTGAGACAGTATCTCATTTATTTGGTAAGGCTGACCTTGGATTTAACTCTGCAGCCCACTGAGGCCTTAAACTTTCAATCCTCCTGCCTCAGCCTCTAAAATAGCTCTTGGATTACCAGCCTGGAGGCAACAGCGCTTTTCAGTACTCTGTCCCTTAAACCCTCTTGTTCATGTCAAAATAAGCCCTAACAAAAGGAGGTATGGCTCCAAAACCCTCCAATGGGTCTTTTTTCTGCATGACCCTGTGCCATTCTCCATAACACTCTGCAGGGACTTGTTTCCCAAAATTCCCACCAAAGAATGCCCAGCAAGTGAACTCTGCAGGGTGTGGCGATGTAGGACAGAGCAGCCCAGAACCTCGAGCTCTTTGCAATGTTCTGCTTTATATTTAGAACTCGCACAATGATGTGCTTCTTATTCCATGATGTAGACAGGTTCACTTAAACTTCCCAAAAAGTAGTTTTCTATTGTTTATTGTTGAGTGGAGATTCACACATTAGTACATCAGATTGCACGCTGCCTGTCACTGTATGTACTCCACCCAGAGCAGATTCCCAAAGAGAACTGGTCCCCAGTTGCAGGAGCTGCTGTGGGTTCTCATTTGCATTCATTCATTTGTTCTGCACATGATTTGCAAACCTGCATGTGGAGAGCACAGAAGTTAGGCCTACCAGGTTCTTTCTTTCTTTCTTTTCCTTCCTTCCTTCTTTCTTTCTTTAAATCAGAAGCACTTGAATTCAGGTCTCTGCTGCTTCCTAGCTGTGTCACTTCAGGCAAGTGGCTTACCCTCTCTGAGTTTTAGTTGCATTATCTATAGATGGAGAGTTACAGGGATAGCTATCTTACTGGACTTCCATGAGCATTGAATGAAATAATGCTTGTAAAGTCATAGTACCTTGTGTGACTTGGATCTGAAATGTTTGTCATAGGTTCAGGTGCTTGAGCCTGGCCCCCAGCAGAAGGTGCTGCTTAGGGATGTTGTGGACCCTCTGGGACATGGGGCCCAGATGGCAGAAGTGTTGACCTGGCCTAGAAGGTGACACAAGCTTTCTGAGCTCTCTCTGCTGCCTGTTCCATCAAGATGTCAGAGATCCACCACATACTCCATCCACCATGAACTCTACCAAGCCTTCCCCACCATGGACTCCACCATATACTCCATCAGCATGGACTTCACCATATACTCCATCAGCATGGACTCCACCATATACTCCATCAGCATGGACTTCACCATATACTCCATCACCATGGGCTCCACCATATACTCCATCACCATGGATGCCACCATATACTCCATCAGCATGGACTTCACCATATACTCCATCAGCATAGACTCCACCATATACTCCATCAGCATGGACTTCACCATATACTCCATCACCATGGGCTCCACCATATACTCCATCACCATGGATGCCACCATATACTCCATCAGCATGGACTTCACCATATACTCCATCAGCATGGACTCCACCATATACTCCATCAGCATGGACTTCACCATATACTCCATCACCATGGGCTCCACCATATACTCCATCACCATGGATGCCACCATATACTCCATCAGCATGGACTTCACCATATACTCCATCACCATATACTCCATCCACCATATACTCCATCACCATATACTCCATCACCATATACTCAATCACCATATACTCCATCACCATGGACTCCACCATATACTCCATCACCATATACTCCATCCACCATATACTCCATCACCATATACTCCATCACCATATACTCAATCACCATATACTCCATCACCATGGACTCCACCATATACTCCATCACCATGGACTCCACCATGTATTTTCCACCTTGGATTCTACTATGCCTTCCCCACCATGAATTCTGCCATATGCTCTGTCCACCATGAACTCCACCTTGAAGTGGAGTCCCCACCATGAAGGATGAAACTGAGGAAGGATGTCTCTAGAATACTCCAAAGCTCTCTACCTCTGTCAGACATTCTTCACAAGGACAAGAAAAGTGATTCACATGGAACAGTCAGTGCAGTGCTCCTGATAAAGCGAAACTGAGTTTACCATGAAGTGAAAGATGGTCCCTCCCAGCCAGGCAGTGGTGGTGCACACCTTTAATCCCAGCACTTGGGAGGCAGAGGCAAGTGAATGTCTGTGAGTTCGAGGTCAGCCTGGTCTACAAAGCTACGTAGAGAAACCCTGTTCCAAAACAAAACAAAACAAAACAAAAACCCAAACCAAACCAAACAAACAAAACAACAACAAAGAAAAGAAAGAAAAAAAAGAAAAAGATTGCCCTTCTCTCACTATCCTTCATATACAAATTGTTAACAGGGGTGTCAATCAAAAGCGGTAAGCAGAAAATCACAAACAGCAATAATAATGTTAAACTGTTTTCACGTGAAATGTCCAAATGCATATTAACTTGCATGGCCTTTGATGTAGAGTCAAGACTGTGGCCTGGTGTTATTCTTTTGACTAGAACTTCATCGCCCTTACTTCCATGTGAATCATGTGTTTGATGACTACGCTGTATGTCATGGCTCTGATTCCAAAGTAGAGCAAAGGTTTGTGGGCATACATGAAACTAGAATTATCTATTTTATAAATTCAAAATTGCTCCCTATTCTGTATATATCCCTTGCCCCAACCCAGAGCTGTGGCTCTTTTTGTTGTTATTTTAGTGATGTGTCTTTCTTGGGCTTTTTCTACAACATAGATTTTTGTTTGTTTGGTGTGGTTGTTTTGTTTTTTTAAGACAGGGTGGGTTTCACTGTGTAACCCTGGCTATCCTGGAACTCATTCTGTAGATTGGGCTGGCCTTCGTAGACCAGGCTAACCCTAACCCTAATCCTAGCCCTAATCTTAACTCTAACCATAACCCTAATGATTCATTAATTTGCAGGCATAGGCTGGAACTGTGTAAATGTGATGACAGTTACCTCCGGTCAGAGTACATTTGTTTGGGAAGAATTCCTATACTCGGGTGACCAGCTGTATTTATGTTGTACTCCAAGCCATGAAGAGAAATAAAGATCTTCAGGCAGTTCTCCTAAGCATTTAAAAGGTACATTCATGATCTTGATATTGGAAAAAGTCCCCCAGGGCTGGAGAGCTGGCTCAGAGTTTAAGACTGCCTGCTACTGTTGCAGAAGACCCAAGTTCTGTTCTAAGCACCCGCAGAAGGCTGTTCCCTACAGCTCCAGGGGCTCTGTTGCCCTCCACTGGCTTCCACAGGTACTGGACACTTGTGCACATACAGACACACAGGCACACGTATAGTTAAAAATCAAAATAAATCTTTGAAAAAATAGCCCACTCTCATTAGTTACTTTTCTCATAACTGTAACAAAATATCTGATGGGAGCAACTTAAAGGAGAAAAGATTTATTTTGATTTATGGTTTGAGAGGTACTGCCTGCCATGGAGAGGAAGGCAAAGTAGAGTTCATAGCATAGAGTAGCCTACTCATTACAACAGCAGACAGGAATCAAAGAAAAATAAACCAGAACCACAGTGGGTATAGCCTTCAGGGACTACCCATGAAAGGCCCCATGTCCCAGAGGACTCCTGGCCTCTCAAAGCAGTGCCACCAACCAAGGGACCAAGTATTCAAACGTGAGTCTTGTAAGGGACAGTTCATATTCAACACCAAATGACTACCTTCCTCTCCTTACATCCAAAAGAACTAATGTTGACATCAAGTTATTGGACTCCTTATGGTTCTATGCTGGAATATCCTGGACAGAGAGCTGATTTGGGGGCCTCCAACTCAGCCAGATCTGCCTCCTTTATCTTTCCAGCCTCACTTTCCATACTAAGAATCCAAGAGAACTGTGGGAGTGCCATTGGGGTCACTGGCTTCTAGCTTTCCTTGACCAGAAACAGAGAAGCCCTGTCCTGCAGACACTTGCACTGGGGGCCTATGGGTAGAAACTTGAAAGTGTTGAATGTCCTAAGCATGGGGTAGACAAATCTAGGGGGGACAGTAAAAATATAAATGGCCACATGATCAATATTTCAGGCTTTGCGGGTGCTGTGGTTTTAAATGCAGTTTGAATGTGTCCTAAGTTCATGTTCTGGGAGCTTGTTCTGTGTGATGATGCTGAGAGAGGCCGGCTCCTTAAGAGATAGAATCTACTGGAAGGTGACTAGTACCTGCCCTCTGATGGCATTAATGTGCTTGTAGTGGCCTGTCCTATGTCATCCTTATCATGTGAACTTTTCACATGTTTCTGCCATCACATTCTGATGCAGCCAGAAGACTGTCTTCAGAGGCCAAGCAGATAGGGTCACCAACCATGGGCTTCCAGCCTCCAAACACTGAACTAAACTGGGTAAACCCCTCCTCTGTGTATGGCCCATTCTATAGGACTGTGCTGCTCTAGGTGACAGTAGTCTAAAAGCTGAGAGAATAAATGTGTATGACTGTGTTCCCACAGAACATTACCACGGACTCTAAAATCCGAATCTTAGGCACCTTTCACATGCTAGTCTTCATAATAACTGAAAAAAAGAAAATCCTTCTTAGCTCCTGAGCTGTATGAAGAGTGGCCATGACAGTAGTTCACATCTCCATAGCCTAGGAGGTGAGTCAGAAACTCTAGCCATCACATCCCATTGGTCCATGGACCTCTCACCACCTTGTGTAGAGTAGGACCCTCAGGACACAAAGCAGAGGCTAGGAGCCCCTCCATCCCAGCCTCGGGATGCTGCTTGAGGTGCCTGCCGGACTGAGCGGTGCTCCCACCAGGTTAATTAGGGAAGGCGGTTATGGGGAGAGTTGCTTGACTGTGATTCTGAGCCTGGTGTCTCCCTGCCATCATTTCCTAGCCTTCTGCTGCATTCTCTGACTTGCCTTTTTCAATATCTTCAGACTTGGAAGATGTGACAGCTTCATTTTCTATGAAAAAACAGAGCCATGGCTCATCAACTACCCGATTTTTAGAAACCTCACTTCAGGATCCACTGTGGAATTGTCTTCTCCCTACAGCCCTCCCAGGGGACTCCTCCAAATAGGAATGCTGGCCTTTGCTGTGCCCAGTATCCGAGGCAACCTTGCTCCGTCTGATGCTAAGCTAATGCCAGGATGAGGGAGAGTACATTACTTTTCATTTCCTCTCAGTGGCTGGATTTAGGCTGCTGTCTCAAATGCTAGTTGATGTGGTTGCTGGATAATCTATTTTCCGTTTGCTCGCTTACAACCAATTTCTAAGGCTCTTGTAGAAATCATTGTTAGTCATCCCTATATTTAGCCTTGAGCTGAATCAATCTGATGGCTTCCAAGCAGAGAGAGGAGAGGGGGGGCGATTTTGATATTTTGATAAAGGCACCCTTTCCCGCAATTTCCACTTTAAAAGCTAGCACGGTGCACTCCGGGGGCGGGGTGTGATCTGTGGTAACGGACGCAGTCAAAGGAAATCATGTAAAAATCCCACTTATGTCTAAGTGACCCTGCAGCAAGGAGCCACTTCTCCCTCTGTTTGGCGCAAATTACCATGGGAACAGTTTGGATCTTCGGAGAGGTGCTTGAGAGGGAAACGCATCTGGCAGGCACTGCCTTCCAGCCCAGCCCTGCTTGACCTGGAGGGCAGAGCTTATCCACTCAGTCCTCTTGCAGCCTTGCCAGCAGCTCTGGGGACTGGTCTCCCGCCACTAAAACTTGGTGTGCCCTCGGGGTCTGTGAGAGTTTATAGGGGACCAAAGGCACCTGGTTCAAAACCCCCAGGTTGCAATTCCAGCCTGGAAGAGCTTGGTTGAAGGGTATTTAGTATGGCTCTAATCCTTCTTGTTCTTTGGTATTTAATAATTCAAGTCAAGTCCTGCCTGGCAGATTTGTTCAAAATGAACAATGGTAAACACTCAGAGCCCTTCCCCTGCCGTAGTCCCTGAATGTCCTGTCTCTTTCCCTTGACACATCACCAGGCCAATGACTCTCAGGAAGCTGTAGGAAATGTTAGAGCTGGAGAGTCAGTTTGTGCCTCTAGCATTCTCTGGCATCCTCTGGCCCATGTGAAATCCTTCCTTCAACTGGTCAGCTCTGCCCTAAGTGTCAGAGCCATTATCTAGAAGTTGACTGCATCGTGGATCTAGCTGGAGGAGGGTGGTCTGGTTTTTACCTAGATAATACGGAATGTCTAGGGGTGCGGAATGGAATTAAGTCATTCCAAAGTCTCCCCAAGGAGATGGAAACACAGGGAGGACAACCATTGCGTGATGACCACCAGTTATGTTTAGAACCTGTATTCTCTAACCACAGGCTCTGTCCAACATGCCAGTAGTGCCCACAGCCCGTGCGCAGGTGTCTACATGGAGCCTTCTTCCTATTTTGCATTTCCTCCTTCCTCATAAGCCTGCGAAGCAGGAGACGTGTGTTTATTTTATTCACCTGTCACAACACCTGCCAAGTTATAAGGACTCTGGAACCTTCTCCAGCTGTAAATCAGTAGCCCTTGCCCATAAGAAATCCTTCCTTGAGACATTTCTTCTTGGCCAGAGCTAGGTGTATTGCATGTAGAGTCCCACTCTTAGCAGATTAGATTGGGATTGTGTCTCCTCCACCCAGCTTGGAAAGATCCATCTCTGCACAAGCTAACTGGCTGAGGCTCTGCCTTCTCTGGACAGGCTGAGCCCTTCCTTGGGTTAGTGATCACCATTGACTGTCCTTGGTCTGATGCCCATTAGGATGTCTTTGAGGGGACCATATCTATGCTCTCAGAGTTGTGCATACCTCCCTACTAAGCTCACAGCCCCCAGGCACTTCCTCTCTCATCTTTTATATCCCTACTGTGCTAAGTATTGTGTACCAGCTGATCTCCCCATGTCAGGGTTTTCATCCACAGTTACCCGCTGGACTCACTGGGAAAACTTTGAAACATACCCTTTCATCCATAGAACAACATGATGTTTCCGTAGGTCTCTGGGCACTGATTCAGGTCCCCAGGACTAGCAATACTTCCCGAGTGACTCCACTGAGTCAAGACCCACTGTCCTGGGGAATCCCAAGTATGGTCACATTTAACTGTCCTTCATATTGATGTATCAGGCAGCCACAGTTGTGAGACTGGCAGCAAGCAAGTTTCCCTAAGTCTCGCTGGTTTGTAAGTAATGGCAGTGACAGCAT